TGGCACGAAGTATGACTCATCTTCTTGATTTAACCATTTCAACAATTCACGATTCCTATTCTTAGCCATAGGAATGCACTAAGATGTCCTTAGAGGACTAATTGTGATATGATTTCTAAACCATTAAGATGATCACAAAACATGATACTAAAGTACTCTCCCATCTTTTCAGATTTGAGAAACTTTTATCTTTCTGCCTAATTTGATTCTACTCATTCGTCCTGCCGTACATTGAAACTTTTCCAATGTTTCAGAATTATACTTAAACTGGTATGTATAACCATATTTACTAAAATTTAGTAAATCATGAAGAATAGTCTTACCGATCCTTTTGTGGTGGACTTTAACCAGTGCAGAAGAATGTATACTTGATCCCTTAGCCCTTCACTCAACTCATATATACATGTGAACAAGGAATTAGTCTTAATTTTCCAAAGATGAAAATTCTCATTCATCATACAATACAACTTGCATGATTCCAAGTTTCTTTCCAACTGAAACTTGGTCGGTGAGAATCTTTCCTTATTTGGTAAATTATGACACTACCACAAACGACAGAATCAAATCCATTTTCCAATGTTGCTATCAATGGAATCATATAAACAACAATTTTTCACAAATGCCATTGTAAGGATACTTAAAATAAATAAAATCAAACATTTTCTTTTAAAAAATTTGGGAAAAACTTACCCTTACAATGCAAATGCATATGAAAACTATGTTGTTATCTAATCCTAAGCAATCTATCACAACTCTTAAGCAGCAGCTCAAAAATTCCGATCACCAAACCATGCGATCGAAATCCATCTTCGCGATCAGAATCAGCTTACTCTTCTTTAAGCTTCCTCTCTTTTCTTTGATTCTTAAAACTTCAACACGTGACTCAGTCACATCATGTAATAAGAATCTCCAAATAGGAACTTAATAGAGTTAGATAGTGGACTTAACTGAAGCAAAGTCAAACTTTTGACTTGACCTTCTCTCAGATCTTTCAGGTAGTTAAGGCAGCTTCGCAACCAATTCCCTTTGCTTTGGCAACAGAAACATATGGACCCTTTGGGAATGGCACACATGACTATCTCAGACTTAGCCTTTCTCTTTACCATTTGGTCAACCGAGTTGACTATGGCCGATCCCTTTCCATTGGGAAGAAAAGGCTTTTCTACATATCCAATGTTACCAATTGTCAATGTCCATGGTAGTTTGGAAAGTTGATCTACTAATCAAATTTGCTTTACCATAGCTCCAAATCATTGCTGATTCAGCAGCACCAAACAAATAGATAAGATCATTAGGGTCATGTCATAGTCTATTACATAGTAGTCCCAAAGGAACTCACTGTGTGACTTAGAAAGTGATTGAACAATCAACTTTCTCAAGACTTTGACACCCAACTCTACCGGCTTGTCAATATGTGACTTTATCTCCAAGATGTGAGCACATATAGACCTTGCTTGCCAATAGGGCTTGAGTGACTTTGAAATATTCAAGAACTTGTGGGCTAGGGAGAATAATTGGAGGAGGTGGAGCGAGGGAAGAATGATTTTCGGGACATCATCTTCAAGAGTTTTTGGGAAGATCATAATTGTCTGAACCAGACATCTTTTGGGAGATATTCAAGATAGTTGATTTAAAGTCCTTAATATAACACCCAATAAGAAATATTAAGGCTAGGACCCAACACAATATTTTATAACTTAGAAGAGGGATGCCGTAATCCAAGCTATAAAATATTTTAAGGTAGGCGAATGACGATTCACCAATTTCCACCATGAAAAACGAAATAAATTATTAGGTTTTAATTGGTTTTGAAACTCCTAGATCCTTTGAGATTCATTGAACTTTTCAATGGCATGTTTCAATCTTGATTGTGTCCTTTAGGTTTTGTGACTGGGATGTCGAGGATCACAAAACAAGGTGTGAATAACCATGCAAATATACTTGGTACCCTTAATATTTACCCCTCAATCGATGTGACGGTTAACCACACGCGCTCCATTGATACTATGATAAACATTAAGTTACCCTTTGCCTACCTTGTTAAGTCTAGGTTAGCGTGCCGGTTAACCACACACGCTCTACAAACGACTTAAAAAAAGTGCAAAGTGTAATTTCATGGGTTAGCACCTTATTCACATTTTCCTAAAGTAACTAAGATTGGGAATTTTATAAAACATTTAGTTACTTTATATTTCCATCATACTTTTAATGAGGATTTAAAGTCCTTGTCTTACCCGTTCGGCTAACGACCCTCCACCAGTCAAGGAAGCGGTGGGTGAGAGTGGACACCCTTTAAGCTGTCATTTTATAGGCAACAACCTTATACCCCCCTTATAGATCGGCTTCGTGAATGAGGCCTACTAACGGTTAGACTGACTTACTCTTATACATATATATATTATTAACTTATAATACTATAAAGTATAGAGGTTGAATTTTAACTTTTAAAATTCTAGGGGTTGGAACTAAAGTTTTTAAAGTGACTTTACATGTTCCAAAACTTGAGGGCAAGTTTTTTAACTTTCAAAACTTTTCATCTTTCATAACTTATGAGTTAATGGACTAATAAAAGGAGAGACTTTTCATTTTATGTAACCTATGTATTTAATAATGGACATTAAAATAATGACTTTTGGTAATCCATAACTTGAGGACAAATTATGGACTCCATTAAAACACATCAAGATCAAGTATTAAACTAACAAGCAAGTTACAAATAATTCCTATGATCTTCTAAACTCATAAGTTCATGAATGTTCATATCAACAATTTCAAGAATCATAAATAAACCATATAAAACTTGAAATTTTGATAATAGCCATTGAAAATGGATTAGCATAACCATTACACCATCTAAAACAAGTTTTATAACATCAAAACAGTTTAGGGTAATGTTTCTAGTCCATTTCCAGCAGCAAAACTCGAAAATCTGCATTCAGGGGCTCCTACTCGTCGAGTGCAAGAACCTACTCGACGAGTAGGATGAATTTACTCATGACTCGGCGAGTTCATGCTACAGAATGCAGAAAAATGAGTTTTTTCAACAAGTTTGCTTCAAGTATCAAATAAACAAGCCTAGGCTCTGATACCACTGTTGGGTTTTGAGCATTCTAACACTCCTATGGTGTACATGCAACCCTAAATACCTTGGATCTATGTTTTACTAAGATACATGCAAAATTGATTTTCCAAGGTTCTTCAACTATCTAGCATAGCATGGGGAACTTTTAAACATAAATGCTAGAAGAAGAACATACCTTTTGTGGTTTGGATTCCTTGAGAACCTTGTGAGCCTAGCACCTCAAGTGTGATGCCTCAAATGTCTCACACAACACCACACCACTTGGAATGACCTTGAGAGAAGTTCACTTACACCTCAAAATCGGCTTGCCCTCTTTCTTGTACAAGTAGTAGTCATAGTGCTGATTTTGCTTGCATAGGGTTCTTTATATAGTTGTGGCACAAGTAGGGTTACACCATGTAACCCTAATTGTCATGGCTTTCCATATTCCATGATCCATGGGTTTGTAACCTCCATGGATTATCCATGGAGCACCTTATGGGTTTTAACCCAATCCATACAAACCATGGATCATTAGCCCTCTATACAAGAATAGATGATTTACACAATCAACCCCATATATTTAATTAGTATCCTTTTTATTACTTAATTAATTCCAAATTAATTCTTTGATCAATACTAATTAAATAATATTATTAATATATTAGAACGTATAATATATTAATAATCCTTAAGTGTCCTTTTCTCTCATTTAGTCTATCCAAGTGTTGCAATGCCATGCAACCCAAATGGACCATGCCAACCGGGTCAAGTACATTCCAGGAATAGTTATGAACTTAGACACCTAATCCAACATGAGTTAGTGTAGGAGAGCTAAGAAGTATGCATTGAGTCTAGTTGAAGGCACGGTGGTAGAAAATTATGCTAGAATATGGTCTTACGGTGAGGAGATTAAAGATCAAATTCGGGATCCACTGTTAAAATTTATGTGGATACAATGCCTGATGGTATGAATTACTTCAACAAGATTTACATATGTTTTGATGCAGTCAAACAAGGGTGACGTGGAGGGTGTAGATGGATCATTAACTTAGATGGTTGTTTCTTGAAAAGTTTTTGCCAAGGTGAGTTGATGTGTGCTGTTGGTAGGGATGCTAACAATGGAATATTCCCAATTGTTGGGGCAGTTGTATGTGTGGAAAACAAGGAGAATTGGAAATGGTTCATTGAAAATCTTGCAGAAGATTTGGATTGTTGGAATGATGGAAGTGGTATGGTCTTAATTTCTGATCAACACAAGGTATGTTTGTAAAGTATTTAACATAATATAATATATATAATTTAATAAATATTTACATTTCTAACTTCACCTATTACTGGTACATATGCAGGGTTTGGTTGAGGCAGTCAAAGAAGTATTCCCAACAGCAGAACATAGGCAGTGTGCTAGGCATATATATGCTAATTTTAGAAAGAGGTTTAGTGGAGCCAAGTTTGAAAATTTGTTTTGGAGAGCAAGAAAGGCAACAAATGAAGCACATTTTAACACAGCCACGAAAGATATTGAAAAGTTGAATCCTGAAGCGATTAAGCATCTTATGGATAGAGATCCAAAGACTTGGTCTCTAGCTTTTTTTAGAGTTCACAATTCATGTGAATATGTGGAGAATGGGTTTTCAGAGAGCTTTAATAGTGTCATTTTGGATGCTAGGAAGAAACCTATTATTAGCATGTTGGAGGACATTCATATATATGTGATGCAAAGGATGGTCACTATGAAACTCACAGGTGAATGATGGAATCGTTATTCTGTTTGTCCAAACATCAGAACAAGATTGAATATTCTCCAAAATGAGCAAAGGTATGCACACTTTTATTTCATACATAACTTACCTCTGTCAACTCCAAAATTTGTATCACTTTATGTAGGCATTGGTAGGTTGTGTCTTGTAGGAGTATGAAGTTTGAAAAAAGGAATATGGATGAGTCATACATTGTTGATGTTACAAAAAAGGAATGCAGTTGTAGGTTATGGGAACTAAATGGGTATGGTTGTGTTCATTTAGTAGCTACATTAGCTTTTCTAAACGTAACACCTGATGGGCCATATGTAGACCCTTTGTACCTGTCAGCCTTCTTCCATAATACATACAAAAAGTCTATTAGTGGCATGAATGGGATGAACATGTGGCCTTCAACAACCTTTACACCTCCATTACCTCCTTTAAAAAGAAGAATGCCAGACAGTCCAAAAGTCAAAAGAATAAGGCATGATTCTGAAATGTATGGAAAACACACTCTTTCAAAGGAAGGAAAAAAGGTTTCTTGTGGCATATGCAAAGAGAAAGGGCACAACAAGAACACTTGCACTCAAGTGTCAATGCCACCTAAAACTAATGTCACAAAGAAACAAAAAATCATGCAAACACAAGAATCAGTGAATATGCAAGCTATTGAAGAAGATGATGTTATGGGTGATATAGTTGAGCCATAAGTTGTTGAAGTTATGTGGGTAAACAAATTTGAGCAAGTTGTAACACTCGGTTTTGAAAGTGTTTGATTGTGTCTTCGAAGGCCAAGGGTATAAGCGTAATCTGACGATTCGGTACTGTTATGAGTCTCGGGTTTTATTCGAAAGGTTTTGATGCTCGGGGTGTAGGTAGGAGCGTAGGGTTCTCGTCCCCTTTCTGTGGATATAAAGTTTGTCGGAAACGGACTTAGAATAAGGAAGTTATGGTACTTTGAAGGTCTTGTCAAAATTAGCCCCTAATGGAAATACTTGGCAGATCAACCCCATGCATGTAAGGAGGTGTGCATGTGTTCAGCTGGGTACGCCTAGCGTAAGCTGGGGTACGCCCAACGTATGCAGGAGGTTGGTCGTGGGTGGTCATTGAGTACGTCGGGCGTACAAAGGGGTATGCGGGGCGTCCTCTCTTCAGACCAAAACCCTAATATCTCGACTTGTAGCCTATATAAGCAATATTATATCCCTACTTGAGTCATTTTAGATAAGCTTCCACCCCTTTTAGCATCATAGAAACCCTAGAGTGCCTTGAGTGAGCTTTTGGAGCTTGGAGAGGAGTGTTCATGGTGTTTTGTGTAAGAGAAGAAGAAAGTTGATGGCTCATTTCTTGGAGGAAGCTTGTAGATCCAGATAGTCCTCATCTTTTACAATCCATTAGAGGTAAAAAGCTCTGATCTTGACTTTCCATTTCATAGATCCTCTTTTGGGTTGGTTTTTCACCATTTTTAGCCTTTTTTTTAGGTCTTGGTGAGCTTGGGTGGGTTTTTTAGAGACTCAAACTTGTAGATATGGACATTTTAAGGTCCCCTATCTCATAAAGGTGCAAGCTTTGTGAAGTGTTTGAGTCCAAGCATGAGTAATTAAGACCATCCATTAAGCTCTTTTGAGCTCTAGAGTCCCATTAAGCCATGCATGTTAGTAAAGTTGCCAACTTTACTTGAAAAGTCACCTATAGAAGTCAGGCTGGAGAGTTGGAGCAAGGGCTGAAGTGATTAAATGCTTATTTGGAGATGATTGAACTTCAGAGAAGTACACTGGGCGTGCGTCTCGTACGCTGCGTGTACTGGCCCAAAGTGGTTTACGTTGGGCGTACCATCTGAGTATGCAGGGCGTACTTGGCTTGGTTGACTCACTTTGTTTTGTTGACCTTTTTGGGCCTTGGACCATGGACCAGGAGTTGGTTAGGGAAGCCCATGTAGTATTTCAGGCCTCTTTGGAGAGTGGGCCTTTTTGGGTTGGGTCCAATATGGGATTGGGCCTTATTGGGCCTTGTGGGTCATATCGGTTTCGGGCTTTCTTATGGGCTTGTAAGTACATGGATTTAGTTGGGCTAGCCATGGACATGTATATTGATTCAGAAAAAGTAAATGGGCTTTAGGGAAAGGTGCATGTAAGGGTTTGGGCCCAATTTGGAAAATTAGGCCTTTAGTGGGCCATTAGTGTGCCTTTATGGATTTTGGAGTTTTGGACTTGTTTGGTTTTGGACTTGGGCCTTAGTTAAGTATATTTTGGGCCAGGGTTAAATGTTCATTTTACCCCAAATATGGAATTATCGACCATGGTATAGAACCCAATTGTTAATTGGGTGTTATTTTGATATTGACAGTTCGGGATCTGTCATCCAGCAGCTAGAGTTTTGTCCGCGGGACTTCAACAGTGCGAGGTGAAATACCTTCCAGTAGAAGTGGGTCTACGGCCACAATGCCGACCCACTAGTAGGATTTGTTTGCTAGATGATTGTCTTTGTGATAATTATATAGGTTTGCTACTATCTGATATGCTTTATGTGCTAGGATGCTCTATTATATGTGTTAGTAGCAGTAGGGGTGAAATTGTCCCCGAATACCGGTTGAAAGATACCGAAGCGGTAGTCAGTACCCATGCATGCCTAACAGTATGTTTATGTTATGTTATTATGTGGTAGTGGTAGGGGTGAAATAGTCCCCAGTAGTCGGTTGAGATAAACCGACGGGTAAGTCAAGCGCCCCAGAATGGCTTGACCGGGGTAAGTCGAGCACCCCAGAATGGCTTGACCTGGGTAAGTCAAGCATCCCAGAATGGCTTGACATGGGTAGGTCAGGCACCCCAGAATTGCCTGGCAGTATGTTATTGTATGGTGTGTGGTATGATGGGGGAACTCACTAACCTTCGTGCTTACGGTTTTCAATTTTGGTTTCAAGTACTTTGTTTTCAAAGGAAAGGAGTCGGCTCGATCGCAGCGTATCACACTATGATTTTCTACACATGTGATCTTTCGGATTACACTCTAATATTATTTTACAATAACTTGTTTTGATTATTGACGCTTTGGTTTTGACATGGGATATTATTATGGATGTTTTTATACTATTGGTTTTATAATAACTTAATTAAAATGAAATTTTTGGCCTTGAATTTTGGGATGTTACAAGTTGGTATCAGAGCCTTGGTTTGAGGGATTCGGACACACTCTCTGGTGTGTCTGGACTCAAACTAAGGACTTGGTATGAAAATTTTCAAAAGTAAAATCATTTTATTAAAAGGAGTTTGAAAAGAGTTTGAAAAGAGAAAAGAACTTTGAAAAGAACAAGATGTGTGATGCATGCAATCAGCCGAACTCAAGTAAGTTTTCCCCAAGATACCCATACATGTTATGATATGTTATGATATGATTATGAGAACTGCATGCTAGATTAGGGCCGAGGATCTAGGAGGATGCCTTATACGCCTATTGTATGTGCTTGTAGACTTGCATACTAGTACTGATCAATCAGTGGTAGGATAGCATGTTTAGGTTATGCCTGATTGTATGAGACTTTGAATTGCATGTATAGATTCCTGATTAGAGGATAGAATGGTTTGATTGGAGTATGTTGGTTAGATTTTCCATTGTCTGAATGATGTCTGCTTTGTGCATTGTGGGACTCTTAGTAATGTGAGTTAGCTACTAAGTGAATATGCTAAGTCACATGTGGCACAGGCTGGATAATCTCATAGGGATGGACTTGACCCTATTGTGCAGCTCTTGTATGAGTCCAACCGTTCTAGGGATGAGTCTTTTACTCGAAGGATTATCTGATCTCACTACATGTGGCTATATTCATGAGGTAGCTAGTTGACATTACCGGGAATCTTTCAGCAGCTGAGGACTGGTTGGGTTCGGGAACCTAGGAAAGCCTATGATATGTTTCAGTGGTTTAGTAGTGATGATTAGTGAGACTTGGGTGTATCAGTTTGAGGAAGTGACTTGGAGGATTCGGGAGGATTGCTGAGGAAAGTATGGATAGGTGTGGATGGTAGTATTGGGCCCATACTACTGAAAGAACATGATTCATACTCGAATCAGTGAGAGTCTTGGAGACTCTGAGAAGCTTCGGGGAGGAGTTTATGTCCCAGTTTGGGGACAAAGGATGTTCCAGCTGTTGCAGCGCAGCCATTGGCAAATAAGCTAGTGAGCGTGACAGGGTGTCCGGCCCTGGAGGATATGACTTCCAATGTACAAGGATACGAGATCGATTTGGAGAACTATGAGAAGAGAGGGTCGTGCCAGGTGCATATAGTAGAGGATCCCGGGGAGAGACCCAAGACTTCTGATCATCGGGCGAAAGGCTAGCAGGGCTGGAGTCAGTGCAACACGTACGAAAAGTGCATAAGGTAGTTTGTCGCTCCAAGGGTTTAGTCTGCTACAAGTGTAGCGGGGTTGGCCATGATAGCAGAAGGAGAGAAGAAGGAGTCAGGACATACAATGTCATACATGAGAAGTCAGAACCCCAGCAGGCAATGTTGCGGGTATGTAACCTTGCCTTCTTTTAGTTTTATCTGCACATTGTTGTGGGAATTATGTTGTGGTTTGGGATATTGTAGCAGGATGAGAGAGTGTATCCCTGGTTTATTTCTTTGCTCCTGTTGAGTTAGATCGTCAAATATCGTCATATGCCAATTACATACCATGAATTACTAGTGGTTAGTGTAAGATCGCTTCCCTTTTGTTGGTTCGGGGTGTTCAGTGTTCACTTGGTTCATAATATAGATTTGTCGTAGAATAGTTAAGGGCTCATCTGAAGCCCAAGAGCCTACGGATCCTTAGAATCCTTCAGGAAGAAGGATCCTATTGTTAGTTCGTGTCATCGAGATCGAAAGGGAGTTTGGACCATGATCTTAGGAGGGTCGAAGTATCTCTGGAGAAGGTGATCAGGATCCCTCCAGATGTTGCGGGTATGTCATCTTCTACTGCTAGTAGATGGATGTTGGGAATACGTATCGCTTTGGAATTGTGAATGAGTTTGGATAAGTCAGATCTCGGGTCGGTTTTCTGGTAGTGTTTGGGTTATCAAGGATCATATATGCCATCCTGCATGCCGAAAAGTCCTTGATGAACCCACAGAGGGACGCATCTTGCAGAGTAGGTTCCGCGTGTACCATTATCATTCCGGATCCTTGTCAGGATCTGTGCAGGAGTATCATTTAGAGGATATTTGGTTAGAGTTAGAGCAATAGTTCTCTAGTGGAGTCAGCGTTCAATGGTTCTATCATGGTTCATGTATGGTCGAGAATTGTCTATGGATGAACTTGGAGTTCAAGGCACTACCGTTGCTAGGGAAGGACTAGTAGCATGAAGATAGTGGAGTCAGTTGCGAGTGTTAGACGCATGAGTGTTCGGTCATTGAATGTCCAAGAGAATTGCATTTCTCGCATGGGTTGCGTTTGGTCAGAGCTCAGTAGTGCTGCGAGAGAGGGAGTGAGAATGAGGATTCGTCAGCTAGGGTGAAGATTAAGGTCTTCAGTTGTCAGCATGGGAGGTGGATTGAGGTGTCAGAATGGATCGGATTTCAAGAATACTCTTCAAGATTTCAGAGGATAGGCGATCCTAGGTGATTGATTGCTAGCATTGGTGTGTACAGGTTGTCAATCGGTGGATTATTAGAAAGTAAGAAGGATTGGGAATCCTTCAATTCTCACGTACTGTGAAGACTTAGTTAAATCTAAGTGGG